GCGTATTTTCTTAGGGCTGTTTTTTTAAAACTATTATATAGAGAACGATTCATTAACCACAGTTTTAATGTTTCTAGAGTTTTTTAATGTCCCCCTGACGACTTGATCACTCAGGAAATAAACTTTGCAGAAATGGTCTTCACGCGATTTGAACAGTTTTGCCCAGTCGTTTATGACTTACTTGTATGTATCATAGAGTTTCTTGCAAGACTCGAGACCTGCAACCGGAAGACAGAGAAAAAAGGATTGGTTTGTTTCAGAGCAATTAAAGCAATAGGCTTTTTAGTGAAGAAAAACCGTCTCTCTGAAATTGACTTGTATAATTATTATATATAACAGAATCTTAGACATCCTGAAACAAAAATAACCGATTGAAAATCAGTTTAATATCAACTCGAAGAGAAAACCAAAGCTAGAACAGTCAGTCAATAATCAAACATACGTTATTTTATATTCTATTTTATTTTATTGTGTAGGACTCTTAAGAGGTGTAGTATTTATCTATTAAGCTATAAGTGCTAGAAAGAGCTTGAAACTCTTATCGGCACCCGAATTGTAAATAGTGATAGAGCGGTTTATAACATTACTTAAGGTGGCTCAAAACAGTTTCCAGCACTTAAATTTTGATGGGTTGTTGTAACCACTCTTTAACACTAGATGTTAAAATTAAGGTATCAAATAAAGTGCCCAATCATTGGTGAGCACGTTTTTATCATCTTCGTGACACAATAGATTACCATAGCAACAGTATGATCTGCTTAAAACATTCTTTATTACAGCTTTAGGGGCTTATAATTCAAAAGCGGCACGAATATTTTGACATATACAATTATATTATCAAATTTTAATATGCACGTTAAGACGCAACTTGTGGCAAAGTTTAAAAAAACATTCTGTACATAGGGTTCAGAGCCACCATGAGCTTTCAAAACTTTGAGCTACCTTAACATAATTTATTGTGACTGGAAACATCTTCGAATCAATTGATAGCTATCTTTAAATAACAAATATTAAATTAACTCGGAGGAAATGGTAGAAATGGGAGATAACAATTTTCGTCGTTGGACGCTGCTGCCGTATTAAAAAAAATGAATTATAGATTCCACCTACCTTTTTCACAACTTTTTCCGGAGAAATCGTTCCTACAAAGGCATTCAAATGTGTCATATTTGTAGTTCGCCACACAGGTGCCTCCGTTTTGACAGGGCGAAGAAGAACACGGTGACTGTAGAAAGATGGACAATTAGTTTCAACAAAATGGCGACATCAATTATAGCTTTACGTCATCATCATCATCATCATCATCATTATCACGTCGTCGTCATCGTTGTCGTTGTCGTGATAATTATCATTATTTTCTGTTCCACACGAAGTTGAAGTTACGAAAAGGATAACAAAACAAAACAAACTATCAATAACAAAAACAACAAAACGCATCACTGATTAGTTAATATTTATACCTTAATGGAAAAGTGATGTGAACTCT